CATTTCTCGGGGGGGGGCGGGGTAGGGGGTGGTTTCTGGTGGTGACAACAGTGGACTGTGCCTGTGCCATGTTTGATGAAAGGGCCACTTGTAGACTCTATCGGAAGACTGGGTGACAACGCAGGAGCACCATTGGGAGGCCGGGACAGAGTGTTGTCGCACAATACCAGGAAGTGCCATAATGTTCATTGCAGGATTACCAGGATTTTCATTTCAGCATCACAAGAATGTCCATGGCAGGATCCCCAGAGCCTTCACGGCAGGATCAGCAGGACCTTCACGGCAGGATCAGCAGGACCTTCACGGCAGGATCACCAGCATGTTTGTAGCAGGTTCACTACGACTTTTGTGGCAGGATCACTAGGACATCTGTGGCAGGATCACCAGCATGTTTGTAGCAGGTTCACTACGACTTTTGTGGCAGGATCACTAGGACATCTGTGGCAGGATCACCAGCATGTTTGTAGCAGGTTCACTACGACTTTTGTGGCAGGATCACTAGGACATCTGTGGCAGGATCACCAGCATGTTTGTAGCAGGTTCACTACGACTTTTGTGGCAGGATCACTAGGACATCTGTGGCAGGATCACCAGCATGTTTGTAGCAGGTTCACTACGACTTTTGTGGCAGGATCACTAGGACATCTGTGGCAGGATCACCAGCATGTTTGTAGCAGGTTCACTACGACTTTTGTGGCAGGATCACTAGGACATCTGTGGCAGGATCACCAGCATGTTTGTAGCAGGTTCACTACGACTTTTGTGGCAGGATCACTAGGACATCTGTGGCAGGATCACCAGCATGTTTGTAGCAGGTTCACTACGACTTTTGTGGCAGGATCACTAGGACATCTGTGGCAGGATCACCAGCATGTTTGTAGCAGGTTCACTACGACTTTTGTGGCAGGATCACTAGGACATCTGTGGCAGGATCACCAGCATGTTTGTAGCAGGTTCACTACGACTTTTGTGGCAGGATCACTAGGACATCTGTGGCAGGATCACCAGCATGTTTGTAGCAGGTTCACTACGACTTTTGTGGCAGGATCACCAGGACGTTCGTGCCAAAACTATCCTCTTGCACACAGTGTACGGTCCTCTTGCACACAGTGTACGGT